AGTATCAGGAATTGGAGGAGATTGAGGAATGGATACTTAAAGAGATAGCAGAGTGAAGCTGAGATCAGGTTCCTATGGGAAACAATGAGCACTTCCATAGCAGTCGTTTCCCATTAGTTATGCAGAATAGCATATGCCCACCAGAGACTATGTTAAGAATGTGCATGCAGTGTTACCAGTGTTATGATTTCATGGACAAGAAATCATGACATTTTCATAATACAGCTAATTTGTATACCAGTAGTATAGACTATTGAGGCCATTACTCTGTAAAACTATGGAATTCTACAGATTACTCTGGGAGCTGCAGTTCTTAATTTAGTTACTAAATTTAAAAGAAAGAAAGAAAAAAAGTTGTGATAAATTTCACAATATTATACATATGAGATCATAATTCTATGGTCTCTTTGTATAGCAACACCTAGTAGTTGTTTCTTTAGCTATGGGAATTTTCAGTGACACAGAGGGAGTTACTATACATTTCCTTTTTAAGAAATAGTTGTTCCACCAATGTACAAAGAGTGTTATAATCAGCAGGTTCTTGTATAGCAATATATTATATTAATCTGATCATGTTTTCAATCATTTTGTGGTAAAGTATACCTGCATCCATAGTCATAAAGCTCCTTACTATCTGTAAATTACCATGTGGAATGTCATGATTTATTTCATAGGATAAAGGTTGTTAAATGAATAGTGACAGCACTATTAGTGTTCTGATCTTGAACTGAAATACCAGTCAGCTTTGTTTAAGTCACCATTCTCTTGAGTCACAAATAAATGTGCAGTTAAAAGGGTGCCATAAGTTAATCAGAGTAGAATTAGTAAAGAAGTGAGCAATTTAAGAACATAGGAATTGCTATGCCAGATCAGATTATCAGATCTTTTTCTCTAACATGCTCTCCCCAAGCAGCTAGTGCCTGGAGCTTTAGAGTGACATTAGAGAAGGGTCCACAACTAGATAAATTCAGAATATTTAGAATGCTTCTGGTATTTTAGTAATAATTGAACTGCTAAGAATGATTATTAGTTATTACCTTTAGTGCCGGCACCTTCTACCCCTTCCAGAAATTAACACCCATTTGAATTCCACAGCCATTACAGTCTTTCCTCTGGTTTCTAAGAGGCAATCTTTATGGCTTGAATCCATCTTATTTACTTTCCATTTTGCATATCTCCTTCATTACAGCTCCTTAGAAAGTCCCCTTGATTGGCTTTCCCCTCATATTATAGAGGAAATCTTTTGGTGCACAAGAACAAGGCAGAAAGTACTGAATCATCTTCTGGCCATTCCTTAGGCTGAAAGGCAGCCTAGGCTCTGAGGCAGCAGATCAAGCAAGGAGATGAAATGTTTTATTATGTTAGCACTGAAATGGGATCACAGGGCACTTTTACACGTTTTCCAAAGCTTTCTGATTAGAAAGCAACGGGAATCGATTCTAAACATAACACTCCAGCATGGGGAAGCATCTCATGTATTCAGCATCCCCACATTTCAAAATGGGAGCAGGAGCACTTTAACTAAAGCTCATCAAATGAGCCACATTCCACTTTATGTTCTCAAACAAATAGTGAAACGTGGGACGCTGAATACACGAGATGCTGCAGGTATTTAATTAGCATCCCCCCCCCCCGGAACC